CAAGTCCCCAACACCTAGAATGCCACTCTGAATGTGCCCCCACTTAATTTAAAAACCACTTAAGCATAGAATTGACCCACTGAACACTAATGACAAAAGACCAGAAGGGTTTTGGAATGACATCAGAGATATAATCTATGAAGAAAGCAAAAGATCTTTACAAAGACAGGGAAAAAGAAAAGACTAAAACAAATGTCAGAGAGAGTCTGAAAATTTCATTTGAACATCAAAAGACCAAAACAAAGGAAAGGAATGTTGATGTAATAGAGCTGAAAAGGGCAGCTTGAGAAGACAAAACAAACTATTATAGTGAAATGTGCAAGGAGCTAGTCAGTAGACCAAAGGAATGGATATGGTTGACATTCTCATGGCTAAAGAGCCAAAAAAAGAAATTCAAGTCCTAAGTTGCAACGCAGAAGGATTATATGGACAAATTCTTGAATGATGTATGAAACATCAAAAGACGATGATAGGAATACACAGAATCACTGTACCTATAAGAACTGGTTGTCTGATAAATTTCAGGACATTCTAAATGAGCAAGAGCCAATGGAATGAAAGAAATTCAAGCTGCCCTGGAGACATTAGCAAAAATAAGGGTCAAGGAATCAATGGACTACCTATTGATACGTTTCAACTAACAGATACAGTCCTAGTTGTACACACCAGTCTATGCCAAAGAGACTTTTTGAAGACAACTGCTTGGCTGAGTGACTGAAAGAGATGATACAACAAGAAAGATGATCCAACAGAATGCAGAAATCATTAACTTACATATGTGTAGTTGGTGGTCTGTCCCACAATCAGCACCCAGCCTGATTTTCACTGCTGATGTTGAGCTTCTCCACCGAATCTTTTCACAAATGTAATCTATTTGATTCCTATGCATGCCATCAGGTGAAATCCATGTGTACAGCCTGCATTTATGTTTCTTATAAAAGGTATTTGCAATGAATAAATCATTGAATGTGCAGAACTCGATCATTCTATCTCCAACCTAATTTCTCTCACCGAGTCCATATTTTCTAGCTACTGATCCTTCTTCCCTGTTCCCAACTTTTGTGTTCCAGTTGCCCACTATTATCAATGCATCTTGATTGCATTTTTGATCAACTTTGACTGCAAAAGTTGGTAGAAATCTTCTATTTCCTCCTCTTTGGTTCTAGTTGTTGGTGCATATATTTGAATTATAGTGGTATTCACTGGACTTCCTTGTATGCTTATGGATATTATCCTGTCACTCACCACATTGTATTTCAGGACGGATCTAGAAATTACTTTTTAAATTATGAAACCAACCCCATTTTCCTCAATTTTTCATCCCCGGCATAGTAAATCATAGAATCGTCTGATTCAAAATGTCTCATGCCTAGCCATTTCATTTTGCCGATACCTAGTATGTCAATATTTATACGTTCCATTTCTTTCTTAACAATGTTCAATTTTCCTACATTCATGCTTCTTACATACCATGTTCCAATCACTAGTGTCTGCTTATAGCTGTTCCTTCTTCCCTGTATTTCTATTTCTAAGATCTCAGTCTCAATTGCCATGTCTGCTAGTTCAAGCGATAGTCTAAGTGTGTTCTATTGTACATAGGGTTTTCGAAGGCCTGTCATTTTGGAAGTGATGGCCAATCCTTCTTCCTAGTCTGTTTCTATTTTTAAATATATATAATAGTATCTGACAGATAAACATTCCACAGAAAAGAGCAGATGAAAGACATTTGCCCAGTTATAACAATGACCAGTAATTTCAGTATTGCTGCCCACCCATGTTTCCTTACTCCACCACCATCCCTTCCTACTTTTGCCTACAGCATTCAATACCCGTCTCCCATTGACCAGCCCCTGATGTGATGGCCTCAGTCTCAAGCCATCAGGATTTCTGTGATTCTGAACATATCGTGCTGCTGTGAGTCTCTTAGGATGCAGCCAATATGACTTCAGTTTAAAGTTGTTAAGTACAACTGTCATGCACAACTTCCACTCCAGGATTGCCTTCTCATGGGTTAATACCGCTTGTATACAAAATTATGGGTCCTGCATGCTGCATGGTATTCCATTGTATGAATGTCCCACAACTTTGAGATATTTTTTAAATTCAGGTGAGAGAGGCTCAAAGTCATATTTTGGTCCTTGTTTTAATTTTCTTTAACATCATTTTGATCTTACACATGAATAGTTGATGGTCTGTTCCACAGTCAGCACCTGGCCTGGTTTTCACACCTGATGCTGAGCTTCTACAATGATTCTTTCAGCAGATCTAATCAATCTGATTCCTATGTATCCATCAGGTGATGGCCTAGTGTACAGTCACCATATATAAAAGATATTTGAAATAAGTAAATCACTGCTTTTCTATCAATGAATTATATCATTCTATCTCTCTTTCCAACTATATCTTCTTATTGTTGTTGTTATGTGCTATCAAGTCATGTACAACTCATAGAGACCCTATGGACAATGGCTCTGAAGTCTGCCCTATCCTGAAGCAGTCTCTGACTCCGACACACCTATTCCCATTGACCTAGTTACTGTATCAATCCATCTCATTTGGGGTTTTCCTCTCCTGCACTGTCCCTTCACCCTTTTGAGCATGATGTTCTTTTCCAAGAACCAGTCCCTCCTGGCCACATGCCCAAAGTATGTGAGTCAAAGCTTCAAAATCCTAGCCTCCAAGGAGAAGCCTGGTTTCACCCTCTTCAAGACAAACCTATCTGTTTTCTTGGTATTCATGGTATGTTCATGACTCTTCTCCAACACCACAACTCAAAGGCCTCAATTATTTTTCTGTAATCCTTAGTCATTGCCCAGCTATCTCATGCATGGCAAATAATTATGAAGATCATGGCCTGGATTAGGCATGCCTTAGTCTCTAGACTGACAACGTTGCTTCTCAGTTCTCTGGAGATTTACCTAATGCAATTCGTCTTTTGATTTCCTGACTGCTAGGGCCACGAGTGTTGATTGTGGGGCTGAGTAAGCTGTAGGTATTAACAATCTTAATCTCTTTTCCATCCATCATGGTGATGCAGATTAACCCATTGGTGAGAATCTTTGTCTTCTTGATGTTGAGCTTCCATTCACATTGAAGATTACAGTCCTTGACCTTCTGCAGCAAGCACTTCAAGTTCTCCTCAGTTTTAGCAAGCAAAGTTGTGTCATCTGCATAAAGTAGATGGAGGTGAAAAAAAAAGTTAATGATTTAATCTTGTTGTTGTTGTCGTTTAATGCCGTTGAGTCGTAGAGGACTCATAGCAACCCTATGAACGAACAGCCTGAGCACTGTTCGTACATAGAGTTTCCGGAGGCAAGCCATTTTGGAAGTGGATGCCACTCCTGCTTCCAGGCTTGATTTAGTCGGGAAGCTCCAGCCAACACTGTCCACCATGGGTGCCCATTACCACGATTGGCACATCACTGTCACAGGCTTCAGCATCACAGCAACCACGAGTTACCTCTGTACAGCAACGTACAGACCAGTGCTATACCGCCTAGAAGAATGTTTGACAGGAAGACAATTTAAACTTGGCCCGAGGGCCGCAGACCAGAGGCCCCTTTGGGCTTAAGGCCGCCTCCTGGTTCAAACCCTAGGCCCAGGCTGGCTAGCCTCACTCCAGGGACAGAGCAAACCTGCACGTCAAACACATTCCCAGAAAAGCAGTCGACTCCAAAAGCTTGCCACGATTCCTGCACTCCCACCACCACACTCCTGCCTTCTGGCATGGAGAGCTTCCACAATTAATACCTTTGTGTTGCTGTCAGTTCTCCAGGCAACTTAATAGCAACACCCTGATATGGGTAAGCACGATGGAGATACACCACTCTGGGAGAAGATCAGAGAGTCAATCCAGCTCAATTTTATTGGGATTGCAGTACACTTATATACACAGGAAGGCAGGATAGGGTGGGCTTACAGATGGGAACATGCAGATTGGTTAGGAGAACCTCAACCTCCTGTGGACCACTCCCAGGTCAACAGACACAGCAGCCCGTCTTCCTTGGTGGTGAGCTTTCTCAAGCTGGTACAGCCAAACACAGGGGAGCTTTCTCTCTCCCTTATTAAAGGCCATTGGGAGGCTTGCACTTGTCTGGAGCTCAGGCGACCTGTCCTGGCCAGAGGTACTCCCTTCCTCCCCAACATTCCGCAAGACACTTGTTACCAGCAGTCAACAAATTAAAAGATTTATTGCATTGGGGAAATCTGCTGTCAGGGACCGCTCAAATGTGTTGAAGAGCAATGTTGTCAGTTTAAAGACTAAAATATGCCTAATCCAGGAGTGAGCTCTGGTGGCCTAATAGTAAGAAGCTGCACTGCCATCTCAAAGGCACGAGGTTTGACTCCGCCAGCTGCTGTGCAGGAGAAAGATGGGAAATCTCCTCCTGTGTCATTAAACTGTCACTGAAAACCCGCTGGTCAGCTACGGGTCCTTCCGACTAGCCGATAAACAACAAAAATCCAATCCATGATCTTTTCAGTTACTTGGTAGGTATCTGAAAGTTGGGCACGTTTTGGGAGGAGCAGTCCATAGAGAAGAACATCATTCTTGGAAAGGTGGAAGGCCGAAGTAGGAGAGGAGGAGCCTCTATAGGAAACATCACACATACATGATTTAACAATAGGCTCAAGTGTAGAAGATGGTGAGGATGGCGTAGGATCTGTTGTTTATTGGGTCGCTATGGGTTGCAGTTGACTTTATAGCACATGAATCCTAAGTATTTACATACTAGGACCTTATCCAGCCTGGTCCCCTAAAATTTAATTTGGGTTGCTCTTCACAATCCATGCCTGCTCCTATTTCATGTTTTTCCTCCCTGAAGGCTTTACCACTCTACACGTGGTTTCGCTCAGGCCCCGCCCCGAACGCTGGTTGGCGGTTTGATGGGAAGGCTCGTTCTTTCGCTCCTCATTGGTTGGTTAGGGGGCGGCACCTAGCTCAGCTCGGGATAGGTCGCCTGTGGAGGTGTCTCCTCCAACGAGGGGGTATTGTCATTTCCGGAGTAAGATGGCTGCAGCACAAGTGCTGAGAACCTGGAGTGGGACTGCGAGGCGCTTGGTAAGGAGATTCGGGCAGTTCTTAGGTCGGGGAAACGAACTCTCTCCCTAGTCGCCCAGGGAGGGTGTGTTACTTTGCCCTTTTCTTGTCCCCCTGAATGCTAACGTCACCGAGGGCGGGAGTGGCGGAAAGGTAGAGGGATGTTTGCAAAAGGAAGGGCAGCGAAGGTGGCGAGAAGCTCACCCCGAAACCCGCTTCTCAGGACCACCTGACCCAGCGGGACCTCGAGACCCCGCTAGTATTTTCCCACTGGCCTTTGAGCACTTTCCGAGTGACAAGCATTGTAAATGCAACTACAGGTGAAGGATATATATTCATTCAGCTCTTACTGAGCGTTCACTATGTGACACATGATAGAACCGCTACTCTGGGGGAGTTTATAGTCAAGAGGAAACGACCAAACGAGCAAAACAGAGTATTTCTGAATCTTACCTCCTAGGAGTCAGAGAATTTACCTTCACTCCCTGTTAAGATCTATCCGTTTCTTCGAGGTCCTCACTCCCTTGTCATTACAACCCTTGTATAGACAGCACTGCAAGGCTTCACTTTTACGTAGTCTTTTTACCGCCATAGACCGCCTGTCATTAAAGCTGTCATCCTACTTGCACAGCATTTTTCTTCCTAAGTGTACTTTCTCTAGATCTTCCTGAAGAAGACGCTCCTCGTCTTACCTTTGTCTAAAGCCAGCTATGTAGTAGGTACTGTGCTAGGTACTGAGGATGCAATTTGACTAAGGCTTACACTATCTCTGCCCTCTGAGAGTTTACAGCCCTGTGGTTAGAGATGGTAGAGAGTGTCAGAAATGCACATTATACAAGTCAGTACAACACAGTATGAGGAGTGCTGAGATGGGACATAAACAACTCAAACTCAATTCCGTTTGATGGGGACTGACTCATAGCTTATCCTCCAGCGAGTTTCCAAGGCTGTAAATCTCATGGGGAGATTTACCGACCTCTATACCCTCAGAGCCACTGGTTTTGAACTGCCAGAGATGCATTTAACTAGCATAAATCCCTGCAGACTAAGCTACCAAAACTCTTTTACATTCTGTTGGCCTTGATGTGAGGAAAGTGTTCCTAGAGGATGCTGTATCTCTTGTCAAGTATGAGTAGGAGTGAGAAGAGATTCTTTTCAGCAGAGCTTAGATTTGAGACTTCTCTGTCCTACCTGTGATACCAGCTTCCCGCGTCTTTTTGTCCACATCTTTGTCCACTCAAACTCTTCTACATTTCCTGCCCCATATTTAAATACTGCTGTTTATAAATAGCTATGACTTTGGTCCTCCCCACTTTTTTTTTCTTATCATTTACTTTGGCTTCAGTTACCTATAGATACTGATAATAAAGTTCCCCAGTCTTCAGCTAGATGTACTTCAGCCCCTTAGAGCTGTTTTACTGCCTATGAGGAATTTTTCATTAAATATTCGTTGGGTCTGTTTTAAACTGCAAATAGTTAAAACCTAGCTAGAACATTAAGTATCAGCACATACAAGGTAGCCCGAAGTTAGGTACCCCTGACGTAGCTCATTCATTATGGTGGTCATTTTAACAATTTCCTCAGCCTTTCCTTCAGGGTCATACGAGGACTACCACAGCTTCTCTCTTTTTATTTAAGCCAGGAACAAGGAAGGAATGGTATTAGCTAAGGACTGACTAGGACTGTCACTTGACCACTATTTAAACTCAACTCACTATTTAAACTCAACTTAGACTCACTGCTAACAACTTAGTTTGATTGATATCAGCAATCCACTGGATTTCCAAGGCTGTAAATCTTAATGAAAGGAGATTGCCCATCTTTCTTCCTCAGAGCTCCTTGTATATTTGAACTAGAGATTAGAGACCTTTGAGTTAACCAAATGACTTGCTTAGAACTATACCACCAAAGCTGCTTATGGCACCTTGGAAAAACTGGATTATAGCCTTCTCATAGAGTCTTGTTGTCATTCTTAAAGGCATACCAGACTTCCGAGGCTCCAGGACTCATTCTGAAAACTCTGCTGGCTCCAGAACTAACCTTCAAACTTGTTTCTGCTTCTTTTGTTGATTTGAATCTGTAACTCTCTTCAAGATCTAATCATTGTAAATCTCTTCAGGATCTAATCACTGTATGACAGGTATTCTGGCCCTGGTTGGCATCATCTCTCACTTCCTAGTTTAGCTTGCTATCTCAGTCTTGTCCTTTGCCAAGCCATTCTTTTTAGTGTAGAAAGAATAATTTTATAAATAAGGCACAAATGCTATGTCATTTCCTTAAAACTGTGTCCTTAGCAGAATGTTCAAAATACAAATTAATTATAAGGCCATTTATGATCCAGGCCTTTCTTGTCTCTCAGGCTTTATTCCTAGCCATCCATTCCAATCTCTGCTCTGATACGTCTTCCATCTTTTTCCTACACCAGCTACACTAAAGCTGATATAGACAACGTCAGTTAGTTGAGCACATACTGTGTTCTCTCTGACTGTAGACCTTTGCACATGTATTTCCTATACTTTAAAGACTCTTGCCTTATTCCCTGTGGCCTTATCTGCAATACGCCTGATTCATTGGATTACTCCTACTCATCAGGTCTTACTTAAACTTAACTTTCTCCAGGTAAGTACCCATCCTTTGTATTTCCTGGTTAGATGTCATTGAATCTGTTATGACAATTCCATGTGACAAAACAGAACTGTCCCTATAAGATTTCTTAGGTTGTTGTCTTTATGGTGGTTGTTCACTAAGTCTTTCTTCCACAGAGCTACTCAATGACCTCAAAGTAGTAACTTTTCCATTAGTAGCTGAAAGCTTAACTATTGTGGCTGAAAACTCTGATTTATTTTATTATAATCCTCTATAAATAATTGTTTACTTATTTGTTTCTGTCTTTGGACTGAATATTCCATGAGGGAAGGGAATGTGTCTGTGTTATTTTCTGTAAAATTCTTGGTTTGGTTTGTAGTAAATGTTCAGGAAATATTTGTTTGAACAACCTAGAATGTTGAACAACTTACCTGTTGTAAGATGTTATAAGCAACAAGAGCTGTCTTACTATCTAAAGTACATGTAGTCTCTGATTTATGACAGAATTCCTTTCTGATGACTGTTCTAAGCCTGTTCTGATGTAAGGCAAATACCTGTTTATTTTTTTGTCATTGTTTCTTTCCCCCATTTACATTATAATTTGCAAAGCAAATTTGTTTTCTGTCTAGCCATTCATACTCATTTAGGTTTTTAAATTACAATGCCCATAGTATAACCACATTCTTCCCACTTCCTCCCTGTGATTCTTGTTTCCAGTAATCCTTCTATCTTGTCCCTTCCTGCCTTTTGATCTTTATGGCAAATGCTGCCCTTTTGATCTTATGTGATTGGTTAGTGTAAAGTTGGTTAGTGTAGATGAGTGTTTCTCTGGTTTATTGTTCAGTTTATAAGCCTGACAATTATTTGGCAGAAAGTTGAGCCACAGAGGTAAGTTTTATTTTAGTTGCAAGGGCCATAATCTGAGGGATTGCACTAGTGTCTGTTAGAGCAGTAAACCTGGCCATAGTTCTACTTTTTTTTGCCTCTCTAACCTAGGAGTTTTTATTGTGATTCTTTTTGTAGTGGTTAGCAGTATAAGTGCCACTTAGCTATTGATCAGGGCATCTACTTCTGGTCTCAGGATTGTAGAATTTGAGATTTGCATGGTCTGTCCTAGTCCTATAGATTGATTAATTCATCCATCTTTGCTTCTCTCTTCTTTGCTGTGGACAGACAGAAAGACCAAGAGTTGCACTATAGGTGACTGCTTGCAAGCTTTTAAGACCCCAGTCATTCACCAAGGCAGAAGGTAGAATATTGTCTTTTTGTTTTGTTTTATCATTTTTTAATTAGTTTTGAGGGGAAGACCCTCTATGAGATGGATTGATTCAGTGACTGGGGTAATCGGAATGGGTGTGTCAGAGGCAGTGTGGTTGGCGCAGGATAGAGCAGGGTTTAGGGCTGTTGTGCATAGGGTCGCTATGAGTCGGAAACGAACAACAACAACAACAATGAAAATTTACAGAGACTTTGGATTTCCATTCATTCATTGTTGCACTTTTCTCCCTGCTCACCCCTCCTCCCACAGTACACTCTTCTCTTTGAAAAGTAAAAGTAAAGTTCCCCCATTGTTTTATAATCCGTCCTCTCAGGTCCATTCCACTATGCAGCCTTCATTCCGGACTCCTGTCATGACAATAATACTTAATCACATATCCCTTTTAAACCGTTTTCTCTCTCATCTGTTTCAATGTAGTATACATTATTTATCCCATTTTTCTCAGTCTCCCCCCAACCCCTATGCCAGTCCTGTTTTACAACAATGGCACTATGCAGTATTTGTCCCTTTGTGACTGAGATATTTCACTCAGCATAATGTCCTCCAGGGTCACCCATTTTGAATAATATTGCATGAGTTCCTTGTTTTTCAATGCAGCATGCTATTCCATTGTGTGAATATACCACAGCTTCTCCATCCATTCATTTGTTGATGGGCACCTGGGTTGTTTCCAACTCCTTGCTGTTGTGAACAAAGCTGCAATAAACATGGTTGTGCATATATCTGCTTGGATGTCAGTTATGGTCTCTTTGGGGTATATTTCCAGTAGTGGAATTACTGGGTCAAATGGTATCTCTATTTGCAACTTTTTGAGAAAGCGCCATACTGCCTTCCACAGTGGTTGCACCATTTTATACTTCCGCCAACAGTGAATAAGGGTTCCAGTCTCTCCACAACCTCGCCAGCATTTGCTGCTTGCTGTTCTGTTAAATTTTGCAATTCTGACTGGGGTGAGATGATATCTCATAGTTGTTTTGATTTGCATCTCTTAGAGCTAGGGATTTTGAACATTTCTTCATGTGCTTGTTAGCCATCTGAATGTCTTCTTTGGTGAAGTGTCTGTTCATATCCTGTGCCCATTTTTCTATTGGATTATTTACCTTTATCTTGTTGTGGTGGGAAACTATACATTTTTAAGATGGTATTTTCATGTTGTCTGTACATTCCCCTGGGAATCCGTGGGTGGTGCAGAGGGTTATGTGTTTAACTACTAAATAAAAGCTTGGCAGTTAGAGCCCACCAGAAGCCCTCATAGACAGAAAAAATGCTGGGGATCTACTTTAGAAAGATCGCAGCCCTGCACACCACATGGGGTACAGTTGCACTCTGCAACACTTTAGGGTCACCATGTGTCAGAAATGACAGCAGGTTTGCTTTAGAATGCCAGGAGTTGACACCTGATGAATTTATCATATCCTCCTGAACTTTTCTATTTTATCCCTCTTCGTAGAGCAAAATCTGAGCAACTTGATTTCAAGGACTATCTGCTGTATTGGGAGCTTTGGTGGGTAAGGAGTTGTTGCACTGTCTGAATCGACTAGCTGCTCCTCAGGGACAGGTGGACAATCTCCTATGTGGTTTACAGCCTCTGAAACCCACTGGAGGGTCAGCTGTGAGTTCTCAACAGCCCATACTGACAATAGCAACAGCATCCTGTATCTTAATTAGCTTTTAATTCCCAGAACCCAGAACAATTCCTGGCCTTAGGAGTCCTCAACATTGCTTGTGGAATTATTGTTAATTATTTAATTATTATCGTATTCTAAATCTTCTCTTCATCTCTTTTTTTTTTAAGTAATTTTTTAAATATTATACTAGTTTACTTACAAAGTTTATATACATTTTTTTGCACACCATATCTTTCCCATTTCTTTTACCCACCCGTACTTCCTTTTGTTTATTGTGTGTGTGTTCTGCTTGTAGATATTGATTTTTAAAAATCAAAGAAACCAAAAAACCAAAGTCAGTGTCATCAAATAATTGCTGATACATGGCAGCCCTCTGTTAGGCTTCTGAAGCAATCTGGAGCAGATTGCCTCATCTTTTCTCCCGTGTAGCAGGTGGTGGATTTGAACCATTGACCTTTTAGTTAGTTGTGTGCTATATGACCCAATAAGGAACTTTGGTAGCCTAGTGGTAAGGAGTTGAGTTGTCAACTGAAAGGTATGTGATTTGAATCTACCAGCTGCTCTGTAAGAAAGTTGGGCAGTCTCCACTTGTGTGATGTATAACTTCTGAAAACCTTCTAGAAGATCATTCGACTTGATGGTACACAACAACAGTATACTCCAGTATACCACCAACTAAAAATACTCATTGCTACCAAGCCCAAACTGACCCTCTCGTGGGTTTTCAGAGGTTGTAAATCACAGTAGAGGAGATGATTGCCCATTTTTCTCCCAAGAAGGAACTAGTGGATTTGAACTGCCTGCTTTTGGGTTGGCAGCACAACACCTTGGCACTAGGCCATGAGAACTCCCTTTAGTAGTGACTACTAATTTCCTAATATGTTTTCTGCAAGAAACTATGAGTTCAAACTCTTTATCCAGATTTTGGTTTCCTTTTAACATTAAGCTTGGAAAGGTAGAAGCTCAGCATAAGAGAGGAAGACTCTCAACAAGATAGATTGACACAGTGATTGTAACAGTAGGTTCACATGTGTTGGAGATGCTGAGGGAAGCACAAGAGAGGGCAGAGTTCAGATCAGTTGTTCATAGGGTAGCTCTGAGAGTCACAGTTGTGATACCATGCAACATCAGTATGAACTTACTCATAGCTGTCCCACCAGCAGGTTTTCAGAGGCCATAAATCTTAAGAGAGGAGATTTCCCATCTTTGTCCCATAGGGCAAGTGGTGGATTTGAACCGTGTATCTTCAGGTTGGCAGTGCAACTCCTTACCATTAGACCACCAGAGCTTCCTAAAAAGATTTAATCCTTCCAAATCAAGCCACTCAGGTAAAAATGGACCCCCACCTCCCACCAGTGACATTAGATGCAGACAGTTTCCTTTTGAATTCTTTAGGGAATTTTATTTCAGGAAGTTTTTAATGACCTTAGCATAAACTACTGAGTTCATACTTAATCCATTGTTAAAATTTCTTTTCTCTTGTAAAGGATTTTGGGCAAGAGTCATAAGTGTATAAACACATCTGACTTTTAAGGATATATTACTAAACAAAAGAAATGTGTGGTAGGGTTTGAGTTTTTTTTATTTCTTGAACAGAGCCCTTTACAACCAATCATAAACTTGCTTGTGACTACTGCTATGAATTCTGGTTTTAGTCTAGATAAATTTCATATGGTATATATTGTGATAAGGGCTGTACTTTTAGGATTTTCTTGGAATTCAGTATATTAAAAAGTTCATTAGAAAACAGCTATGAGATGCATCTCACCCAAGTAACGATAGCAAAGTTCAACAGGGCAGCAATCACAAATGCTTGTGACATTGTGGAGAGATTGGAAATCTTATTCATTGCTAGTGGGAATGTAAGATGGTGTCATTAACAAGGTGGACACTTTCTCAAAAAGTTGGAGATAGGAATACCATTTAACCCAGCCATTCTACTACTGGAAATAGAACCTAAAGAAACCAGAGCCATGACGCTACGTTATTCACAATAGGAACAGACAGAAGCAACCCAATTG